TAGAGAAGTATACTATTCTAATAATTGGTCTAGCGTGCTTCCATTGTTTTTGCTTTTAATATTTATCGTTAAGTGTATCTGGTGTTGTGGTTAAGTTTATTTTTGCAGAAGACTAAGATGGGATAGCTATATTGGTTCTATCAAGTCTGATTTGTAATAACCGTATGTAACATATAACAGTGCATTAACGGAATTATTTTTTATTTTTATTTTTATGAGTATAGCTCTCAGAAATAATGGTTCGGCTCGGATGAATGTCTGTTAGCGTTACACATATGCACGTCACTGAAGTCTGTTGACCGAACGGTAGAGTCAAATACGGATATATACTAACCGGATCGCATATTATAATGCTCAGCGTTATCGTTTCAGCCATCTTTCCTGTACGTTAAATATTATACGCGAATCCCACCGTCGCGTCTTGTTACTGGAACGAGCACATTCAGTTTCTGCACGACGACGTGGAAAAATGCAATGTTTAACTACAGCGTTGATGGTTTTGTAATAATAACAATAATAATAATAATATTTACTTATTTTGACAACGTTTATTACGATATAACATGAAACTTTACAACATTCATTGTACAAAAAAAATTGTTCTAACTCTGAAAGGGTAGTGGACGCACGTACAACTCTAAAATCGATAATGCTGAAAAACAAATAATTTTACAATGTTTACAAAATCATTATTAAATACGTATACATTGATGTCATAATATTATAAATAGTTTAAAATCTTATTTATTTTTGCTATTCACAATAGTATGGTTAATATTCCAACATTACTCCAGCTAGTTAGTCACATCTCGTAAGTGTCACAATTCCTTATAAATTATAATTAAAAGGTATTAAAACAATTTATCTATTTCAAGTAGAAAGGAAAAAAATGTAAAGTATTCCAACTTTAATACTACAAAAATATTAAAATATTTAAAAAAAGTATTATTTTTTGAGTTGTGTCATTGTATTGATTATGGAACGAATACTGTTAAATGTTAAACAGAAGTGGCAGACTATGCAGCAATGATATTTCGTTGGGTCATGGCTGGCAGTAGGCAGAGGGCTATTCATTCAAATAATAATTAAAGGAATTTCTGTTTTTATCTGTAAAAGTATACTGAATAATATTTATTTTTAAGATATTATTGACATTGTCAAAATTAAAAGTGATCTAATGATAAAAAAAAAAAAACTATGTACATTGTTTTAATTTTATATTTTATTCTGTTTTTATTAAATACAAAGTTATTTTGTTAAACTAAACATGTTCGATAAAACTTCAAATAACCATGCGAAAGTAGCATATTATATATTATTATATTAAAATATAAGTATGAATATTTTTATAATCGGAACTGTAAGAAAATTAGATAATTTATTGAGTAAACAACTTAAACGTAAAATAACCTACTAAAATATTGTATAATACTATTGTATCTTTTAACATTTAAAACTTGTAAATTGTATTTCATAATACTGCTCGAAATTTCAACTTAATTTTGATAAATATTCAAGTTCGTTAACTCTAATAATGCATGTAGGTAATATCTTAAAACAATTTTTTATCCCCCTTTAACTTCAAGTCATTGCGAATCAACTTTAGTTAATGCAGTAAACCTCGTATTCCACAGTTGTGCCGTATTAATATATTATATTCGTACATCCCATTATTCTCACAGATATCGAATTCGTTCGAAACGTCTCTAAAAAGTAACCACAACATTCGTGCAATAATACCTATAACTACCACAGCTCTTTCCAACGCCCTTTCTGAGGCGTATCGTTTTCCGCAGTGATGAGCACGCGATATGACGAAAATAATACTGCACGCGACAAAAATATATTATGTTATTCTATTCTAAAATCGCAACGTAACTGTACCGCCTGATACAATCGACATTACCGCAGTTTAAATATTCTATAATAATAATATGATACCACGAATGATGTGTTATGTACAGCAATGTATTAGTGCTGCTCACATAGGCACAACTACACCCAAATTTCTGGCTTTCGAGGAGTGCTAAAATTGTTGACGGCCAACAAATACCCATCCAACCAATTAATTATCATCTCATGCTTCTTTAAAAAATCTTTACACTATATGAGAAGTTTAGTATCTATTTCTTTATTGTTTATATACATTAAGTATTTAATTTTTAATATATTTTCGTCTGTATTGCGAATACATAATATTATAATTATGTAAATACTACTGTAATTGATTATTAAATAACAACAATAAACAATAACAAACAGACAATATAGGTTCCAATATATATTATTATTATTAATTCAGAACTATTTTTCTTGTTTTTAGTTTAAAAACTAATTAATTTTAAGTTATTTATAAACTTTAATATATAATTAAATATTTATAATAGATAAGTTGTTGAAACATAACCGTCCTTAAACAAACTTCGATTTGCTGTATGCTTAAAAAACAACTGTACTCGTGTGTTCTAGGGACTAGGGCTTACTAAAGATTTCAACTAATTTATACAATCACAAAATAAAGTAATTTACAAGTGTCATAAATAATATTAACTGACAACTGTGCCTACCTAGTAATTATTATATTATTCAGAAACTATTTTACAATTTATTAATCAAAAATAATATATTTCAAAACATCAACGCTAACGCCTAACATAACGAATTTAAACAATCGGTAAACTCAATACTTATTGACATTGAACTTCTACGTAAGTCCGAAAAATCGAAAAATAACTATGGCTTGTCTAATTTTGGGATCATAATACGATTTATATATATATATATATTTAATCCCAGTACGAGTCGATAACGGAATCGGAGGGAAAAAAATGCACGAGTCAGCACCCGCAATACGAATACAATAACATTATTGTAGTTGATAAACAGCAACTGTGCTCTTGCGTATACAGTGTGACAAAACATTAATACCGCCGGCGGCGGCGCCGTTTGACATTGATCTCGCGTACCGCCATCGGCCGATCAAAAGCCCGCGGGGACGATTTCGGTCGTCGGAGGAGTGGCGGGGCTGCAAGCTGGATCGCCGTGGAGGCTATACGATACCATGACGATATACTGTGTACATTGTAATATATGCGTCGTATACAGCGAGGAAAAAAAAAATAAATATCCGCCGGAGAACGAGTTTTTTTTTACTATGGTCGCGGAAAACGTCTGAGAAGAAATAATAATAATAATAATACGATATTAGACACGTATTACATATAATATAGGTACGCGCGTGATGTTTATGAAGACTGCTTTGATAGCGGGGGTGGGTGTGGCGGCGACATCGGCGGAGAAGAGTATACCGTTGTGGTATGTGTGTGTGGATATTTTTCTCTCAAGGTTTTTCACGGCCCACGTATGGGTATCGTTAGGTACAATGACCATACGTCGGCGTATAACAGTGTGATGGCATATTATGCCTGTAATAATATGTAGCACCTAACATACCGCATGCCTCACATCTATACGTACATTATGTACATAAGGGCACGGACCAGTAGCTCCAGAAATAAAATTTGTATTTTAGGACCAGCGTACCAATAATCGTTGCGCTGCTCGGTACCTACCCATACCGATTGCGCTTTCTAAAATATTTAATATTATTCTGATATGAAAAATATTTCTCTGTCCGATCTGATAAATTGAATTATTATACGTTTCGCATAAACATTAACATAAATGTTAAAATAATATAAAATTTAAAACTAACCCGACTAATTCGACTGAAAATCTAGTACCGCAACGTACCACAGACACCAACTGGTTCTGCGAACCATATTTTATACTTTAATTATTTCGTTATTTCATGTCATATTATATTATTTTTTATTTATTAGTAAAATCATTTCGCCTACTATAATTTATCGTGGATAAATAGTATTTTGAATTTGTGAACTGAATAGCTAGCGCTCATATCTAATGTCCGTATTTGTTACTATACTATCTTGGAAACTATTCGCACCTATTGTGTTGAGCCGTTGAAGGACTCTGATTTTACTGAGTGTTATAATAAATCGATAAATATTATTATTATTAATGTTAAATTTAAAGGATCATCTGTTATAGTTTAGCACAATTGGTCTATCAACCCTGAGAATGACCAAGCACAACGGATCAACTGACCAAGTCGATTGACTTGTGAAACGTTTTGAGCGTAAATAATTGATATGTGAAAAGGTCATTTTCAGCGCAATCGGATAATTCTCTTACAAAATATGCTGCATCAAAACGAACAATTTCGCACGCTCATAATACTTCCATTCGTCCCGATTTTGCCGAGATACTACCGGTTTTATGAACACGACCCCGGTATACCTATTTTAAAAATCCCGGTCGGTATAAAAAAAAAATCCGTTTCTGGAAGTCAGTCCTTAGTGGGTTCATAATTAACTAATGTGCATTGTGCATATAGGTAAAATGTATAAATTAAATTTCAAGCAAAATAATATTGACATGTTCCTATCAAAATCGATTGACATAATATCGAAACGAATTCACTTTCATGCATCACTGAAGCGCGAGTTGATAGGCTTGTTGGGTACTCGAGTACTATGTCACAATGTCTAACTATTTCACCATAAGTTTAGTTACTGCCGTCAGGAATTTTTTTACTGTGGAGAGCGGGGTAGTTATTGAAGCATCCTGGATCATAATTTTGATTGAGCATGCAACCCAAAGTCTATATTTTGGCGTTATTGTAAAAATGTTTTCATTATTAAAAAATAAAAACGTATCGCTTGCGACACTATAAGCGTTATCATCGCCTCGTAGTAATGATTTTACTATCATTATATTATTATTTTATGCGAGTTGTCCGGAGAGGTAGGTCCGGGCGGCGAACGCAATTTTTATTTTTTCGCCAACGATCAAGTCTATTTATGGGCCACTCGCTACAAGGTCCGTGGCAGCATAACCAGCCGCGCGTGGTGGTGGTGGTGGTGGCGGTGTGGTGTTGTATACCTACTCACTTGTATAGCTGTACGATATAGTGTGCAGTTGCGTTTCGAGCGGCCGGCGAGCTTGTCGCGTGTGCACACGGTGTTCACATGTCGTGGCAAACAATAATTAATTAAAACAATAGTATAATAAAGGCATAAACACACTGCGTTTTCAGAAAAATAACATCGACATCTAATAACCGAATACATTTTTAACTCCGCGTTCGTGCGCAAGTCGATTAAAAAAAACTTCCAACAGACGTGCAAAGTGCCGTCGTATACTGCAGTTACCTACGTTTTTTTGAAATCTCCGAGATGGGTCGAAAGTTCCCGTTGCTCACGTCCTGTCTGGGTTGCCCGCTCAAAACCGGAGCCATCATCAGCGGCGTCTATGGAATAGTAAATAACAACCACTACAATAATAATAATAATCACTATATTTTCCTTCATTTATACGTTTTATAACATTATAATGTTATTCATATAAGACATAAGTAATTAGGCACATATTAAAATAAATTGTAATTTTCCTAAAATACATTAAAAAACTACCTACCTAGCTATTAAGTTTAATACCTGTCGTAGATACGTCACACTTATACACCGCTTTCCGGCAGTGTGTACAATGTGTACATTATTAATCATCGTCGTATTATTAAACTTGTCACAACACCAAAAGTCGTTAATACCGTTTAGGTTACGCCTAAAGTTCAAGGGCGACACTAGTGATATATATCAGCCACTATTAAAGGGCACTACAGCCAGTGACAGCAGCGTCTGAAAAGTGTGACCGTGGTTTGAGCTCGTTCCAGTTTAACAGAAAAATAGAAAAATAGTGTTTATGACCTAGATAATAAAATAAAAAATAAATATATTCAATTTATTGTGAACGCTATTTTTAATAAGCCAATTTTACTCATTTTCTGTTTATGATGATGTGCAAACCCTTTTAATTCGTACACTAATTAACACATCTATTGTTACTGAATTAGTGAATGATTCTTGCATACATAATATGTATCCAATATCCATATTATGGTTTGATCTTTTTATTAATATGAGTACAAGTTGATATAATATCTTAACATATTATTTAATGTATTATAAATGTATACATGATATGATGCATGTATATATGTATACATACGTACCTAATTTAATATTATTGATATTACTTTATAAAAACAGTGACCATTGATGATTAATTACATAATTACAAAAGGATTTTTATTTAATTAGTAAAAAATACATTAAACGAAGCAATAGTCAAATGCAAATTTACTCAGGTACCTACTTGATTAATTGTCAACCAAATATGCCTTTGTGAAATTGGTCATTAGAGTATGTATAGAAAATACGAATCACTATGTTTTGACACATCGATACAGCTCGGTTTAAAGTTATTATTATTTTTTTTAATAGCTGCCGAATAATAATTATGCATTTGTTTATTAAAAATATTCAAAAATATTTCACATACCTACACCACATTCATATGTAATAGTTTGGTATCATTAAAATTAACTTAACTAGTCTAAGCAAAACAGTTTATTCTCAATTATAGCCTATAGGTACTATATAATACCTATACTATAAGTATTATTAATTAGTATTGACGTATTAATAATTTTCTCATTAGCTTAAAGTCCATATTCGAATAGTTATAATTTGTATATGTATTTAAAACACTATACACATTACACAATCAATAATTTACTATTTTATGATTAAAAATTAAATATCATATTTATAAAATATAATATAAATTTACTCATAACAGGGGTAGTACCTACTGGTATTTAGGGTAACATTATATTTTTAATTATACAAAACGTTCACTGAATTAGCTTTATCTAAAACATTTTATGATTTGGTTATTGTCTTACTTCAATTTTAATTGTTTATAAAACTCATTTATTAAGCTATTTGTCTCTTAACATATTTAAAGTATATACGTAAAATCTATTTAACAATGAAACTCAATTTAATACATAATAATTGAATTATATTGCATATGAGTTATGACATTTTATGTTATTTATCAACTTGCGTTTATCATATTTACGGTCTATCTACTTACTTACAGTTTTAACTTTTGTTAATGTAATTAATGCGGGAAAATAAATGTGAAACTAACACCAAACTACGACAATATTTCAAACTCTTCAGTAAATACTAAATAAGTAGTCTTATTACATAATGTTTAACCCGACCGAGAACCATAATAAGTAGTTGTATAATACTTAAATAATAATATAGGGACGGTTAAATGAAATAATAACCATAGAAAATTAATTCATTTAATGACTACGCTAATATTTCTTTGTTTATTCGATTATTAAATCACAGTAAAACATATCGATGCCAAATTAATGTATAACCTAGGTACTTTGTTTTATTTTCGAAATTCCACGTAGTTATTCAATACATATCCAATCATAGGTTATATTTGTATTAGCTAAATCTATAAATAATTATTATTAATGAACTAAGCTACTACAATAGTTAAATCTCACTAATTCTGTCTTATGGATGAATGTTATTGATAATATATTATTATGTATATTAAATAAGTATAAACTGTAGCACTATAAACGATAAAATTATAGAACAGAAAACTTGAAGGAAAATATTACGCCTACAGGTTGTTCTAATAAAAATAAAGCTTTGATAATGCATAAGAATATTAAAATTACATGAAACACAATAATCTATATCCATTAATAACTAATCATAATATTATAATAATACATCGGTATATACCTACTATATCAAACACATTTGCACTTTTGTACGCTTTTAAACAGATTTTATTTTAATTCATGCTGATAACTATTTTTATTAATGTTTTATTTAAACCAATATAACAGGAATAATGCATTACTTATACATAATCAGATTATCTAAATTATGTGAATATATAGTAACAGAAATAATATTTGATAAAAATTATAAGCATAAAACACAATATATTATTATATATTATGTTTTGAACAATATAAATCAAGTACTTTACTAACAAACAGAAATAATAATGAGAAAGACGAAGACAGATTGCTATTTTATTCAAAATATAGTCATGTATTTTTTTTTCATAGATATTTCATATTATGTATTGTGATTTTGCAGATTAATTATTTTATACGCAATGATAATTATGCACTAGGCAGACGTGTATACAAGTAGACGTAGGTATAACGTCATTAAAAATGTTCTTTTAAACGTAATGATTAAGTAATTATGCCGAAGAAACTTTTCGTAATTTTAAACTTTTAATGTTTAAGCTCTTTCTTATACCCATCTTATATATACGTGATATGGTTTTAACGTTCATTAAGGATATGACGTCTCCGACATTTAAAATATCGTGTATAAAACCTGTAATTATTTCGAAACGCGCTAACGAATTTTATTAAAAGCTTAAAGTTGTTAATGGTTACCACTTATAAGTCATATTATAACTTATACAATTATAAATATTATTGCTGTTATTTTGAAATAGCTTTTAGCTTTCTGCTTGAAAATTAAAATGAACCCTTTAAAAAATTATAACTCATGTAAAAAAAGTTCTGTATACATACAATTTGATTTACTACCATATAGAAAAGTACACATACTTTAATTAATTTAATAATCCACTTTACAGACATAAATAAAAACTAAAAGAGTATACACGTTACTCTATTAATAAAAATATTCAAAAATGTATCTAAAAAAAATAATATTACTATAGAAAAATAACATTGATCTCAATATTGTTAAGTAGGTATACCAATAATAAAAACTTTCAAACTTTTACAAAAAAAAAAACTTACATCAATTGTTTAAGTTCTATAGTTTATACTGAATATTTTAATCAAAATATTTAAAATTAATTATTACTATAAAGTATTTATTAAAAAATACTCATTAAATTCAATATTTAGCACTCTACATTTTATAAATTGGTTTTAATTTTTTTATTTTTTTTTTTATCCAATATAGACCTACCGTAATATTGTATTATTGTATTTAATTTTATCATCTGAAAATTCAGTGTCTCAAACTATCTGATTCTCGATCCATATAAACCGGTTTCACCCGTTATACTTAAGACATGTAAATGAACATTGAACATTAAGTAAAGTCCTCACATTTTCTGTCTTATAGTAATCGATTTGCCTTGTTATTTGGTAATGTAGATGTCAATTGATTTTTAATGTACCTACCTACTTACCTACCTGCTTGGAAAAATAAATAATCATGATATATTTTGTTATTTATATACTAAAATATTAATTTTAAGATTAATAGGTAAAAAGAACTCGTTGATAAATTTCAACATAATGTATAGAACTTATAGAAATAAACCCATATATTCGCTTGTATCAATACAAAAATATGCGAATTCATCGATTCCAATAAACCTTCTTTCTATTAACACAAAATGAACATCGATTCTGCCAATGCATATAGTTTCAAAACAATCTATCGATTCGCAAATTTCTAAATAAGTCAAACCAGGAAAATACTACGTGGAAAATATTAATTTCCCAATCAAATAGTACAAATCTTTAATTCAATCAATTATTATTATTATATAGACACTATTTATAATATTATATATTAAGCAATTTGAGATTATTTGTAAAGCAAACTATTACAGGGTGATGGTTAAAATTCACCAAAAATGCTCAATACTCACCTTAATGTTTTCCTTAAATAAAAAATTTATTTAATTTTTGATTTTCGAATTTTTGTAAAGTTACTTAATAACAAATAAAGAATATTATATGATAATACTAACTTTTTTAATTTTAAAATCACTTTCTTTTTTCTTGTAAATTATGTTAAATAATTGATTTTTTTGAAAATTGTGATGTATATAAATTAAAATCTGTTATTGATATTAGCAATTATAAATTTTGAAACATAAATTAAATTAAATATAAAGTAAGTAGTTAATAGTATTGGACACAGTGAAAAATTGATACAATTTCCAAAATTGATAGATCCTTAAAAACGTACATAGATTGTACATACTGCGTGACTAAAGCGTACTTCTCATTAATAGAGCCTACTGCCTACGTAACTTAGTAATAAATTACAATATAACAGTATTTAGTCACATAGATTACGTGCGAACCTTCAAATACGTCTTATTTCACACCGAAAAAAATTGTTCTCAGTATATTGTTTTGATACATGCGCATCAAAAAATGTTTATTCGAGACTGGATAAATAACAAAAATATATAAGATTTAGATTTTAGGTATGTTAGTTATGTGTGTGTAATGTGTATAGTAAATTGTGTATTATGACGTATTACAGAAGTACAGCACGTTTTTCATATCCACATACTTTACTATTATTGCGCATTTCGATATTGTGCCAGTTGCTCTGCGAGGCGATAATAAGTA